ATATTAGGAGTGCCTCCTGACCCGATGCTTGGGTAAATGGTGGAGACTTCTGAAAAGGAGTTTTGAGGAAACTTATCTTGTAACCTGAAACAATTGAGAGAATTTGTGGATCCGATGTTAGGGTTCTCCAAGACATTATGCACTCTGAGAGTCTGGCTGACGTCCCTTCTGGTGAGGGGGACGAAAAAACCCGTTTTTTGAACGAGGCCCTTGGTAATTTGGCTGAGATTTAGGAGGGTTTGAATACCCAGTGGATTGATACTTGTTAAAGGTGTCTCCTTGATGTTTGTTTTGAGACTGGGAACTATTATTACGTCTAAAAAAGGATTTCCCTCTAGTTTGTGCCAAATTTTTTGTGAGGCCCCTTGACAACTCGGCCTGTTTTGAGGCCAGGGAGGGCAAATCATCTCCAAATAGCCATGATTTTGCATTAGGTAGAGGTAGTTCCGCGAGTTTTGTCCTCAAACGGTTTATGGCAGCACGTACTTTCTGTTGTCTCAGGATAGACAGTTGAGCATTGGCTAAGCCTAAAAGGCAAAGAGTTTGTTCCAAAGCTACTTTAATTTCCTCATAAGTTGGAGCTGAATCATTTTCGATACAATCATGAAGGTCACAAAGTGGGCCCGTGGCATTTAGGAAAGCACGCTGAACATTAAACATTTCCTTGTCCCTTTCTTGTACAAACTTTTTCACTTTAAGTGGTACTTACTTGATTCAACAATTGTTGATCGAGTTTTGGAGCAGAGAGTGCATCCACTTCAGGTGTTGCCCAGTCATCCATAATAACCAGAGATTGCTGGTAAGATAATTTTCTCCAAAAGTTAGTATCCAGAAATTTGGAGAAAGAGGTTAATGGTTTCCAGGAGGTTGACTTGGCAACTGGGTCGAACAGCCCATGATCATCACTAGTATTCGCTGAGTTTTCAGCTTCATCAGATGTCTTACTAGACTCTGTTGGTGCCTTAGTAGGCACTACAGGTGCCTGAATAGGCTCTACGGGTGCCCCAATGGGCGTATTAGCAGTCTTAAAAGACGCTTCGGTCGCCAAAGGTTCACTTATCTCCAAGCCTGACATTTCACCAGCCATAATCGACAAAACATCATTGTCTGTATCTGCAATAGTTTCTGGCTGATTTGCTCGGGACTCTAACAAGTCTATTCGGTTGGAAAGATGTTCAATAGACTGAAGGATCTTCTGAAGGGGATCGTTTTCGTCCTTGTGCCGTTTCGGTGGGGATCCTTCATGATGTACGTCAGGTGACGAAATAGAGTTTTGGCGGGAAGATGGCGACCGGGAACAAGTCCTTTTATGCGACTTGTGTCTTCTGTGGGATATGTTCAGCGATTTTAAATATCCTGAAAAGCGACAAATATCACCAAAAAGAAACCTACTGCGTAAAAACACAGAGGTATAGCCTAAAAAACGGTTAGAATTAGTAAAAAAGGCAAGGCAAAAGCAAAATACTTACCAAATGGTTTGAAGCACAAGGAAAAAAGCCAC